AAAGGGCATCGCTACTAGTAGCAAGAAGCGCTACTAGGAACAAAAGGACTAGGAACAAAGGGCTAGTAGAGATGCAAACGAGACTTCTCGAGACTTTGGGCTGATGCTTTCAAGAAGATCGGCATTGTGTGGCTGCAAAAGCGGCTGGGTGCCTGAATGCTGCGACTGTCAAAGTGGTGAGCTTCTAGTTCGAAGAAAGCAATACGTGTGCTGGCCAGAACTGCTCTCAAGGTTTGTAAAGTGTCAGACTTCTCCTTTATGCCGTCAGCAGTTTGCATTTTCGCATGATTTATCCGCGGAATCTCTGAATTTTGGTTGGAGTCTTTGTGTGGTGCTGCTAGCGTGTCGCTGCCATGGTGGAGGCACTATTGCTTTGGGTGAAACATAAACTGTGGTCTTGCATCATGTAGGTTGCAAGACAATATACAAAGCTCATGCAGAAGAATATGAAGCTACTAGGGGCTCCTGGCATCGCTACTAGGAGCAAGGACGCCACTAGGGGTTCCTGGCCTTACTACTAGGAACAAGAAGCTACCGGGAACAAAAGGGCATCGCTACAAGAAACAAGAAAGCTCATGCAGGCGGAAGAATATGAGAAAGGATATGGCTCAGGACCACAAGGAACCAGAGAGGTGAACTTTTGTTGCTTGGCCAAACATGTGAAAGGAACCTGCATCTGTTGCAGTGCAAGAACGGCCAAACATGCACTGTGCACTTGTATTTTTGTATTGTTTGACGCACACACACACACACTCATAGATTAAAGCCTTATCGCCTTATCATTGTGCATTCGGAGGCCGTTCAATCATCCTCAGCAACAGGAATGCTATTTGACGAGTTTACAGTTTACTCGTAGGTTTTGGACGGCACTACGCCATACTAGTGACAAGAATGCTGCTGTGAAAATGCATTCTTGGCAGGTAGTTTTGGAGTGTCCCGATCCATACATTTGTGACGAGGCTCCATTCGGTTCAATCCATTCGTGTCCTTCTTCTCGGCTGTGTGTCTATGGTGCTTTGTCCTCTATGCCGTTTTGGATCCCGAGTCGGATGCGGTGTTTGGCGAGTGGAAGAACTGGGTCACAAGTACTTTCACGTGGCTTTACATTGGTTCCCAGGAGAATCCGAATCTGTCAGAAGAGATGAAGCGTCAGTGTTGGAGTCACAGAAGGTTTGGCAAATTTGATTTGATACGGAAAGTAGGACAGTCGATTGAAATTATGACTGCTGAATACAGCAACAAGAGCCCCTATCACACCATGGACCAGGACTATTGGCTGCTCTACCTTTTTCCCTTGGTTTACTACTATGGCGACATGAAACTTGGAAAGGACCGTCGGCTTGAACGTGTGGGCAGAAGACGGTTGATTTTTCCCTGTATCGAGTTGAGCAGTTGCACCATGTTCAAAGCGCCAGGATGATGAGGAGCCAGAATATGGTGACTTGACATACTTGGCCATGGTTTGGTGTGCTGGAGTTGCAATTGGACTCATCTTCTACGGAGCATCTGAGCCTTTGATACATGCGACGGATGGTAACAATCGCGCCTAGAATATGTTGAGCACGTTTTTCTACTTCTGCTCAGAGTGCTTGGTGGAATCAAGACACTGAAGATCAGCAACTTGAACACAAGGCCATAACAATGATGGGTACTCCAACGACAACCAGAAGGCATTGTATGGGTTGCACCTCACAATGTTCCACTGGGGTTTCATGGCGTGGATTGTGTACTGCTTGACAGCTCTCACTATGGGCTTTTTGGCGTACAGGAGGGGGTTGCCCCTTTGTTTCCGTACCACACTTGCTCCTGTGCTGGGAAAGGCAACTTGGGGTTGGATTGGTGATCTGCTGGACATTGTAACGATCGTCACCATTGTGGCCGGATTGACAACTTCCCTTGGTCTGGGAGCTCGACAGATTGTTTCCGGCTGCCAACGTTTGGGCTGGCTGAGTGGAACCTTGACTGATAGCGAGCTCACAAATGCAGCATGCTGGATCATTGGAATCATCACTCTGTGCGCCACTGCATCTGTTGTGGCAGGTTTGGAGTTCGGAATCAAGTCTGTTTCGTACGTAGCATTTATGCTTGGAAACTTCTTGATCTTGGTGGTCTTCTGCCTTGATGAGCCTTGGTATATCCTGAATGTCTTCGTGGCCACGATCGGATTCCACCTACAAAACTTTTTGGAGACAGCCTTTGACACAGATGCCTTTGCCCAGTTGGGTGTCGGAAATGGCCAGCCGAATGACGGAAAGGGCGCAAATCCTGCCTGGATGGATTGGTGGACCATCTTCTACTGGGGTTGGTGGATTGCTTGGGCACCATTTGTGGGAACTTTCATGGCCCGTGTCTCCCGTGGTCGCACGATCCGTCAGGTTGTTTTGTACACACTCACCATTCCTTGTGGCTATGCTTTCATTTGGTTTTGCACCTTCGGGGCAGCTGCCATTCGCATGGATCGACGCGCAACATGGTTGGCTGAACTTGGAAGCGAGCTTCACAACAACAGGGACTACTTCTTGCACACTGACCTCACCTTCCGTCCAGCCAGTGCTGGCAAATGCTATGATGTGCCTGCAAGTCTTCCGAGCATCACAGGATATGAAGTGAATCCATATGTGAGCCCCGTCTGCAACTTTGCCAGTGGTGACAGCAATGGCTACTGGTTTGACCTGATGAGTCAGTACTACGGCATGGGTCAATTCCTGACTTTCGTGTCCATTGTGACGACGGTGTTGTACTTCATCACTTCATCTGACAGTGGCTCCCTTGTCGTGGATTTGATTGCTGCGAACGGTCGGGAGGCGCATGTGGTGCAGCGAGTATTCTGGGCCTTGACAGAGGGTGCTGTGGCAATTGCAACGGTTGCATCGGGAGGTTTTTCCTCTCTGACCGGGCTGCAGGCAGTTTCCATCGTGATGGGCTTGCCTTTCACATTCATCCTCATGGTCATGTGCACGTCATTGTGGCGTGCACTCAAGCTTGAAGCGGGAGACATGCCACCAATCAACCGGCGAACAGATTGGGCTTTGCCTTTGTACGGTGGGGTCGTTGATTTCCCGGAGTTTCTTCTGACCTGTGGACGATGTCCTATGCCCTCCAAGAAAAGCATTTGTGCTTTCTTCACTGCCCTACTCTTTCCGGGGTATGCTCTCTTCAAGGCACTGAACGGTCTAGCATCCCATGAGCAGAAACCAATGCCCATGGTGGTGAGAATGATCTTGGCTAAGATGACCCAGCTGCTCTTTACCGCTTTCGTTGCCCTCCACATTGCTGCCGCCGTATATGAGGGAGAGCAGCTGCGCATCGAGGGACGTGGACTGTGGTCTTTCGGTTGGATTTGCTACATTTCCATGGCTGGATTTGTGGCTTTGGGCCGCCATCAGATTCGACGTCTCTACTCCATTGAAGGCTCTGGCATGGAGGATTTCTGGGCTGCCCTGCTGCTCTACCCACAAGCCCTTGCCCAGATCATGTTGCAGATTGAACAGACGCCTGTTCCTCAAGACTACAAGAAGCCTGACAAGGCGGGGAGGGATCTGCACAGTTTGTCACCAGAGCAGTTTGCATCCTACCAGGGTCGCCAAGATGAGTCGGAGATGAGGGGTATCGCATCGATCTGAAAGGGTGCTCGCATCTTCAGGACCGAAAAAGGGTGGTGATCTTTTTGGTCTGAAACGGACATTCCTGGCATTTTTTGCGTTGGTGACTGACCTGTTTGCAGGGACATCGGGTATGTGATGCATATGGCAATGTGAGTATCTTGCACGCAGGATTCGTGAAGTGGGGAGATGTGGATCCGGAATAAAAAGAGCAAAACAGCACCCAATAGCAATGGCCTCCAACCCAATAGAGATGGCCTCCAACCTACTGGTGATGGCCTCCAACCTACTAGCGATGGCCTCCAACCTACTGGCGATGGCCTCCAACCTAAGTTAAGAGCCATGGCCTCCAACCTAAGAGTGATGGCCTCCAACCGACTAGCGATGGCCTCCAACCTAAGAGCAATGGCCTCCACAATGTGTATCATTTGTGCTGGGTTTAGCTGTCTACTGTTTGTATTGTAGAAGGTACAGAAGGCAGGGCAATTGCAGTGTGGGAACTTGCTGTTTACCCTCATTGGCGAGGTTTGGTGGGAATGCAAGAGCACTTGAAACAGCAGACGATAGAATTTTGTCCATGACGTTTTAAATGACGCAGGGCACTGACTGTACAGACTAGTGTTTAGTGCCCGTTTTGTGTCTATCAGTTTGGACGTAGCATTAATTAGCAACAATCTCAGAGCAGGTCCATTTCTTCGTCTAAACAGGTTTATGAAGTGACAAACTGCAGAGGACACTGGCAACGTAGTGCAGCTGAAGTCGTCTGCGCTCAGTCTGCAAGAGACTTGCAGCGACTTGCAATCCTGATTTGGCCTCACAGGGCCTTAATGAAGCACTTCAGAAAGTGAGAAGACTGTGAAGTGAACATTTGCAGGTGTAAAGTTTGTAAAGCCAAAGTGCCAAGTGCCAGAAGAGTGTCAAAGACGGCGAGTCTTGTCATTCCAAAATAGCCTCGAGCACACAGTCAATCGGCAGACCACACAACAGATGCACACCGTACACCTCAACACTTTCAAAACATTATCTTTGACCTTGTGTCGACCAGTTGCGTTTCGTCTGCGCAGATTCAGTTCAAAATGGCCAATGCGTTGACAGTGCCTTGGTCATACAGAGTCAATGTTACCATTGTCGAAGCAAACAAGCATGAGGGCAGCTGTAGCTGCTGGGTCGCCTTAGACTTGGCGGCCTCACTGAGGAGATCACGATTGGTTTAAATGCAGTTCTCCAGGCCACCCGCATGAAAGAGGCACCCCACTTGGAGCTGAAATGTCATGGAATCAGGCTTTGAGAGAGCAGCACTTGCAGTGTTCTTCAGTCTGGTGACTTGCACTCCAACGTCATTTCCATGATGAAGCGCAACTCCTGCAGCAAGGTGCATCAGTGCCGTGCTCACAGCTCTTGAGATGAGAGATGAGTAGTCGGGATTTGTATTGAAAGGGGGACGAGGGGGACGACCCTTTGGGGAGTTATCACCCACTAAGGCCCAGTGGTTCTTACGGGTCTCTCTCTCTCTCTCTCGCCCTCGGTTCCAAAGTATTAGGTTGGCCATCACTAATAGTCTTCCAAAGTGCCCTTTTTTGGCACACAGTGACCCTGCCAGGCCCTGGAGATCGCGCGACAGTGTCGGGACATGCTGGGAGGAGATCCATCGCACAAATAGCAGGTGAGGCTGACAGGGTGTGTTTTGCTACAGGCAATGGCATTGTTGATGAGTACAACATCATTCGCCACGTGTGCAACCTCGAGGCCGCAGAGTGAAACTTGCGAAACTCTGTGGAACATGGAACGCTGGGAGTTGACAGGCCGTCAACACCTATGAGGGAACTGCTGACATCCACTCTCTGGTTCTAGGCATGAGGGTTTCTTTGTATGTTTTACTGGCCAGTGAATTTCAATGCAGGTCGTGCACTGACCGGGATACCAGCATTCAAGTGAATGAAAGCCTTAGCTGATGTGAAATATTCATCAAGTTTCATCATTACTTTTGCAATATTGTTTACATCATTATATAGTAATCTTATCAACATCAGTGTGCCAAAGAGCATCTTGTACAAAGCCACCTTTTGGACACTTTTGGCGGTCTTCGACCGTCGAGAGCAACAGCGCCGAGTACAGCTGGGCATCTCGGATGTGTGTCGGACAAAAAGGAGATGCCCGGCCCACCTCGGAATTTTGAAGTCGAATCGTCAATGACAAGGCACCCTTCCTTCGGCTCGCCATCCTTACCTTCTGGCCTTCGGCGTTAGGTGAAACATGGATCCTTTGCCATGCCACGGATTTGGCCGGAAGCCATTTCCGATCAAGAAAGAAAGGGACGTTTTGTCATGAGTACAGAGTGAAAGCCAGCCACACCAGTCACGATTCATCTTCTGATTGGTTTTCTGTTTGGATGTTGCAAACACCTCATTCATTTGAAGATGGCACAACCTTCCCTGCCAGTGGCCCCGCCTGAGGGTTTTGGAATGCAGCCTTGCACTCAGCCAGGAGCAAAAGGAGTCTGTGAGGTGTTGTGAGACGTGAGACTTGCCACACATGTGTGAAGACGAAAGCTCTTCACCTCTCAACATATGCAAAAGAGTAATACAGACTTCAGACCTTGTGCACGATTTAGGGTACGACCATAGCCAACAGAGTTGCCGTATCAAGGATGGTGTATGAGCCAACCATCAACACCTTGGCTGCGTCGATCTGACCAGGTGCTCTGGCGGCTCCTTGCTTCGCACGCCTGGTCGCATCTCATATCGTCCAGAGGAGAAGGTCCGGATTTGTAGTTCGAAAGAAGGCAAACAGACTATTCTAATTAAATTCTTTTTGTTACTAGTAGCAAAGCACTTGTTACTAGTAGCTTCTTGTTACTACTAGTAAGGCACCTGTTACTACTAGCGTGGCACTTGTTACTACTAGCGAGGCACGAGTACGAAGCTTTGAGCATTTTTTTCACAGACTTAACGCCGCGCAGTTCCTTTAATTTCATCCTTGCTGTTGCAGAGAGTCGTTGGTTTTCAGTTTAGAACGTTAATAATCCGCGTTGTGAGGGCTGTAATTGTTGAAAGTTTTAGGTTCGGTGAACAGCTTGCAAGTTTGTTTGCCGGACCAGCTTGCGCAGATATTGCCCGATAAATCTGATTAATATCAATCCAACGTTCTTCAGGCCTGGCCTGACATGGGAACGCATGAATCGCAACAGCATGGGGCTCAGCCGGACTCAGATCAACAGCTTTGCAGATGCAGCGATTGAAACGACTCGTGGCTTTTGTTGAAGGCGGCATTCTCGATTTGTAGATGTGATGAGTGATGAGTTATTTATGAATATATACGGAATGGGCTATTGCCCGGGTGCCGCCGACCCCTATTTTTGGGCTACCTTTCCCAAGATGGGTAACTGGGCCCTGGCGACCAGTTCCATAGGAACTATATAAGCATGTAGCGAGGAACCGCAATCAGGAACCATGGTTTCATAACAAGTCCACATGCTCAAACTCTATGGGATCCCGAATGCTCCCAACCACTGGCAGCCGCAATTTTTCTTGCAATGCAAGATCATCTAACCTCCAAGTCTGCCACTTCATTGTGGCAGCCTTGACGCTGCAGTTTTTGGAGTACTTCCTTGTAGGCCTCTCCAGAGAAACAATGACACGCTCTTACGTTTAGAAGATTATTGATCACGTCCAGCGCCATATGGTGGACGAGCGAATCTTTGGAATCACAAGCTAATGCAGTTCGTTTGCATTGGCTGGCTGCCACACTGTCATCCGCTGCCACTCAGGAAACTGCACCTTGCATGTTTTTGAAGAGCCAAACATCATCAAACATCTATATACAAATAGTCTATATCACTTTCAATAATCCCTCACGGTGTGCACTGGCCACCTTGACAACCGCCGCGTGTGTTGCCACCAGTTTTAAACCCTGGTGGGAAAACGTGCCAGCAAACATCGCAAGTGCCCCCCGTAGATGCTGCGGAAGGCGCCTTCGCCACGCCCTTCGCCAATCGATTTCTGTTCCCAAAAGCGGTCAGACAGGGTCGCAACTTTGCAGTTTCGAAACCCGAAAAAAAGGTATGCCAAGCCCTGGATAGAGGTAAGGCTGGCGCCTCTCCGCCACGCCCTTAGCCTATCAATTTCTGCGCCCAAAAGCGGTCAGAAAGGTTGGCAAACGCCAGAGGTGTGGAAGGCGCCCTCCGCCACAGACCAAGCCCATGTTGTTCTGCACGCAAAGGCAGCAGGAGAGAGTCCCAGACGGCAGCTTCGACGGCAGCTTCGCAATCGAGGGTTCCGTGGGCGGTGCCCGGCTTAGGCTTGGCTAAGCTGGGGCTGGCGGATATTTGTGGGTTAAAGAAAGTAGCAGAACTTTGTGAAGCTTCAATATTGCGTGCTAGGATTGCGACGAGTAGCAGTGCTGTGGCCATGCTACCCCAGCTTGAGGAGCTTGCAGGGTTTACTTAGTGAATCTGGAGTCGTCACAAGGCCGGATCTGCCAGAATTGCCTCTAGGCTTTCGGGACTTACTGCAAAGCAGGCTACCTAATGTCGCTGTGAGAGTGCTTGAAGCAGACTTTGGACGCACTCCCTGCCGACGCTCCTTTTTTCAAAGCGGTATTGATCTGGGAACAGCCGCTGTGAGCTCGGTGCTGAGAGTGGAGAATTGTATCAAGGCACAAGACCCTTTTTCGGTCACAAAGAACGTCCAGAAGCCTAAAAATTGAATGGAACAAACATTTGCAAGTAGTTCTGATAAGCCCAGAAGGAACAGAACAGTGGAAGGCATAGCAAACAGAACGTTCTTTTTTTTTTGTATTTTGCTTTCGACGTTTCATGACGTTCTCCAATTCAGTGAGGCTTGACGGCAGCCAAATATGGCCAGGTCGGATCCAGCTTGCTGGTTCAACTTGACAAGCCTCGCCACCCATCACTAACCTGATCATTCTTTATTGTTTTTTTTCCATCAGTGCCCTTCCTTTTTTACTTGTAAAACATTGCGGGGCATTGCTTTTGCGCTTCTGCAGTTCCGCTGTGGATGCTTGGAGATTTGAAGGCTAAGATGGTGGCTCATGCTCCTTGTTTTGCCTGTGATTGCCCACGAGCACGGCGCACGGGCCTCGGGATATTTATATGTTTTTTGTGCATTGCCTTCCAGCTGCCTATTTTATGTTGGGACTTGGTTCTGAATTTTGTTTTTTGGTATATATATATATATCATATCTCGATGTTCTCGAAAATAACTTGTTGGTTTTCAAACACTCAAGGACCAGTGTAGAGTCTAGAGACAGAAAGAAAGATAGAGACAGAGAGAATACGGAAGGATAACATCAGCAAAGCATGAACAACACATACAATACAGTACTGTAAATACTGGACACTTCTGAACATTTCTCAGGAACTCCTTGACGGTTTATTTGGGGTTTCAAGGCCGAGAATCTATTGAACCAGCCATGGTTGGAAAGGCGCGATCTTGGGACGCTGCGGGCTTGGCCACGGTCGGATGTCTTGGACTTCTTGGTGTTCGGAGAAGACTGGAGACGTCTTGTCCTCCAAGCTCACCTCGAGTACCTCGACGCTTGGAAGGTACCCGCTGCATTGTCACTGGCGCTTCTTCGGGGATGGGAGCGGAAGTGGCCTGGGCTTTCGTGGAGGCTGGAGCCGATGAGGTGGTCATGGCGTGTCGCAGCCTGGAGCGCTGCCATGCCCAGCGCGCCCAGCTCTTCCGGCGCTGCGCCCAGGAGGCCATGGCCGGCGAGGCCTCTGGCCGGGCGGCTCAGCAACGAGCAGCGCGGAGGCGGCAGTGCTCAGAGATGCAGCGGAAGATGGTTTGTAAGGTGCATTTTTTGTCGCTGTGAGTCAAAGTGTTCACTTTTCTCGGTGCAAAAAAGACAGATAAGAAAGAACAAAGAGAGAATCATATATTCTTGCAACGTTACAAACAACTTGTTGGTTGTAGAGGCATCCAATAATGACATCCAAGACCGGAACATGGTAAATTTGCAAGGTGCTGGACCTCACCAGTGCCAAGTCGATTCAGAGCTTTGTCAAGGATAGTGAGAAGACCATGTTGGACCGACCGCTGATATTGGTGAACAATGCTGGTGTCATGACGGACGAAGGTCACGTCGTCTCTTCGCACTCGACTGTGGACCTCCAGCTGAGGACCAACCATTATGGCCATTTCATGCTAACACAGATGCTGTTACCAAACATGGACCCCGCATCCATCGTTGTCGTCATGGCAAGCAGAGCTCATCGCCAGGGTTCACTGTCGCTGGAGAACGCCGGCCGTGTTCCTGATGTGGAACAGGATGCTGGGAACCAGAAGCGCGAGAAGCTTCCTGGAGGGCCGGTGTTCCGGTTGCTGAATGGCCTTGGGCTTGGGTGGTATGCTCGCTATGCACGTTCCAAGCTTTGCAACGTTTTGTTTGCGGCTGAACTCCGAAGGCAATATCCTGATGGACCACTGAGTGTGGCAATCTCCCCTGGCTTGGTCAACACGGGGATTTTCCGAGCTGTACCGGAACCTTTGGGACATGTGCTTCGGTGGTTTGCTGACAAGTCCTTCCAAACACCTCAAGAAGGAGCCAGACACATCTTGGCCGCCATTTCAGCAGCACAGGAAGCGCATGGGGAACGAAGTGAGAAGGACTTTCCTTTGTATTGGCATTGCTCAAAGCCTGAAGTTCCCTCGAAGGCAGCAATGGATCAAGAGCTGGCTGCAGCTCTTTGGCGCTCTAGCGAAGTGGCTGTAAAGAAAGTTCTGTGACCTTCGAGCACGGTGCACGCCTCTCGGACTTGGATGGACTTCGGACATCTCGTGGTAAGCCTCAATGACAGCTCGAGCTCCGTGCTCCAATGAGTTCTGACGGACTGCTGAAGGGTAGGCCCTACCTGGTGAGGCACATTTGGCCGTGATGAGCTCCTGTTGTCATCAGCGGTGGCAGCTTGATCGGTGAGCTTCAGGCCATTTGACCATGGCACCAAATTGGCCGCACCAAGGTTGTGCGGGCCTATCGTAGCCTTGGGAGCTTATAGATCTTATAGGGTTGTTGGTAGAAACGTCGGTCTGCGGCTGATGATCAAAGCATTTCATTCATCGGTCGTTCAGAGAGGTGCAATGAAACTCAGGCAGGCGACGATGCTGATGCTGCTGGGGCCCAAATCAGATGGATCTATTTCATTGCGACGTCGCGCCCGTCTAGTGTTTGATACGCACGAGTTCGCAGCGCTTCGTGGTGTTCACCCGGGCATTTGAAGCTTCAGCATCCCCGATCTCTCTCTGCCTGCCACAATGAAGCTTCAGCATTGCTTTCGGTGCCAGACCCATCCAAGCCTAGGAAAGATGAACAACTTAATTACTGTAGTCCTTGCATTCTTGCGGAAAGCGTGAGATTGATGTCTCCGACTTCAAAGTCTATCCAAACATGCATTGCCAAGGCTGCACCAGCTGACTCTGCAAAGGATTCCTCTGTAAAGGAGGTAGATGCAGCTCCGGCAACCGCCTCGGTTTACCTGCGACTACGGTTGCTGTAACTCCCAAACCCTAACTATTGGGCTCGTCCGGCCTCCAACAGCACTCTTGGACATGCATGGCATATCATAATAATGGCATGGAAACTCTTTTGCTTTGTGCTTGGCTTGCCATGCTTTTTGCTTCTCAGCAAGAGCAGCCAAACTGGATCTCGATTGGGCAGAGCTATCAGCCAATGGGATTTCTGCACAATTGCAAGCTCTTGTAGCGTGGACTGAGAACAGTTTGGACATGGGAGAATTTGAGGCGGAGATGTCTACCCCTGCAGTCCTGGAAGGGATTCTCAAGGCACGGCAAAGCTCATGCCAACCGCAGTGCCTCGAGAGATCATGAGGTCGGTAAGTGTGGGTGAGCAATGCCGTTGTGAACACATGAAGCCACCTGCTCTCAAAACTTCAATTCTTTTGATTTCTTCATGCGTTCTTTGAATGGATGTGAGGCCATCCAGAGTGAGTTGGAGGACGCGGAGTGCCCAATGCCATTCCAAAGCAACATGCTATTCATGAAACATTTGCGACCGGTCTTTCAGTCTGCATGACACTCGTCTACCATCTATCAATTAGGTGGAGGCCATCGCTAGCAGATTGGAGGCCATCGCTTCTAGGTTGGAGGCCAACGCTTGTGGGTTGGA